GGTTCATTTCTTTGTTCAATCGGCGGATCCATTTTCGAGTTTCACTGGTGCTTTTTGTTTGGGTTCGATTTTTGCTTCATTTCCACTCTCGTATTGTTCATATTATGATTTTCTGATCTTTCCTGCGTCTCAGTCAAAGTGTGAAGTAAAACTGTTGAAATTACGTTTCGGCGAGACAACAGCGCCATCATCAGATTTAAAATTTACACAAACTCATGATTGGTAAAAATCAACGTTCTTTTAGGTCTTTGTCTTCTTGAAACCTTAAATTTGTCTCTCGACAGACAAATTTAAGGTTTCAACAAGGCAAAGACCTAAAAGAACGTTGATTTTTACCAATCATAAGTTTGTGTAAATTTTAAATCTGATGATGGCGCTATTGAATCGCCGAAACGTAATTTCAAAATTTTTGCTTTACACTTTGACTGAGACCCATGAGATTTAAAATTTACACAAACTCATGATTGGCAAACATGCGAACGAATGTTGATTTAAATTTTTTAATAATGAAATGAAAACTACTTCAGCTTAAAGCTTAAAGCCCAAGAAGAAATGCCTACAAATTGTTAATTAATATTTCAGAGTTTTCCTTGTAAATCCACAAAATCAACAAAGGAATTGTTTCGCTTTGATTTTTTAATGCCAAAAAATTTGTTTACATAATTGAATTTCCAGAATCAGAAGGATTTGCTAGTGGGAAATGAAAAATCGTTCAATTTTGTTAGGATGTTTACCGAAAAACTGCGAAAATTTTGAAATTATGCCTGCAAGAACAAAAACTTCCTTTTTAACTTGAGTTTTTTAAGTAACAGAAAATCGTAAATCATGGTTAATAGCACTTCCAAAACCAGATCGATTTTTATGTGGAGAACGAAAAAAACACCAATTTTTTAAATTAGAAGAATTTCTTCTAACTTGAATTAAAATCACTCTGCTAAAATCAGAAGAATTTTCCGGAGATGTTAATTAATATCGGAAAATCAGCAAATGACTTGTTTTTAAAACATTATTTCAGAAAGCTGAAAAATTGTTTAATTGAACTTCCAGAATCAGACGCTTGTCACAGACAGATTTTCTTCTGGCTTCATGAAAAAACTGCGAAAAGTTTCTTTAAGAATGCATTGATTGAAAACTTGTGCTCGATGCCACAGAAAATTTATGAATCATGAATTTTAAGTAGCATTTCCAGAATCAGAACGATTTTTAGGTGGGAAACAAAACGGCCAAAAATTCCTGCAAAATCGTCACTTAAAAGATTTGCTTCTAACTTTGTGCTTCTCTAATGCTAAAATCGGATTTTCTGGAAAAACGTGGAAAGCTCGACCATTTTATCACATTTTTGTTTAATTGTCTTCATAAAAATCTTTACATAAAAAAATACTTCTAACTTTGTGTTTCTCTAATGCTAAAATCGGATTTTTTGGAAAAACATGAAAATATCGAACATTTCCTTGCGTTTTTGATTAATAGAACTTCCAACCAGAACGATTTTCAGGTGGAAAACGAAAAAACCGGCAAATTTCGTTACAATCTTCACTTAAAATATTTTCTGATGCCAAAATAAGGAGGATTTTCTGGGAAAAACAAAAAATCTCGACAATTTCCTCACGTTTTTTACTCTTAATTCAAAACCTAGTAAAAAATATACTAGGAAACACATTTTCTTAGACGGCAAAAAAATGTTGTATTCAATTTACAGTCAGATGGATTTTCCGATGGAAAATGAAAAATCTGCAGTTTTTGTACTTTGTTTGCTGATAATATAGCAGAAAGTTCCTTTGAGAATGAATTAATGGAAAATGCGACTTTAGAACAAAAAAATTCTTCTAAACTGGTGGTTTTTGCGACAGAAAGTGCCAAATTATGAATTTGTTAGTAGAACTTCCAGAAGTATAACGATTTTCTGGTGGAAAGCGGAAAACCCGGCAATTTCTTCACCATATTCACTTGAAAGATTCTAATTTTTGTGTTTTTCCGATGCTAAAATCAGGAGGCTTTTATGGGAACGAAATGGAAAGCTCAACAATTTTCGCACGGATTCAAAATCGGTAAAAAATCAACTAGAAAAAACTACACATTTTTCTAGAATGCCAAAATTGGATTTTCTGGTGCAAAACTCAATTTTTGGAATTTTCAAGAGATTTACTTTTACGTTTACGAATACGATGTACTGATTGTATCATGGGCTAAAACAGCCCTAGACAATTAGAAAACTCTGCAAAATGTTAATTGAATATAAGATACTGACGGAATCGACTACAACCGGATACTCGAAACTCGAAAGGCAGCCAATCTTGGCCGGATAAATAGAAGCATTAATGCGCATAATAACTGCAAAAATTGAAAAGAAATCCGAAAAGCAACTAAGGAACTATGCCCTTTTAGACAGCGAATTGCAACATATAACTTCTTTCCAATTTGGTGGCCTATTGTGGGCTGAATGGGGAAGAAACGGAACCTGCAATTACGCCCCACAAAAGCTCTTTCGGGAGTTCAATTCAATGTTTATGCCATCAGAAGGCCCGAAACGTGATTTTAAATCTGCTTCCTGTTCTTCGCCGATGGCACAATGGCCCTAATTTTAAATTACAGGTTGTTGATGTAATGTAGCGTCGAACATTCGTCGGACTTTGAGCGGATGATTGAGCAATGTAAGAATGCTGTTAAACTTGCTGAGTGCCATAATTATGAGAAAAATGGTAGGTAAAAATTTGTTCATGGTTACTTCGAAGCATTGGCAAAGAGTCAACTGTCTGCAAAATTTGCTGAAAATTTCAAATTGCTTTGTGAATTTGTTTGGAAGATGTGTTTTTTTTAAGTTACTGTATTTGAGGTAAAACATCAATTTTTAGGCCGATTTTTACCAAGCTATCAAAAATTCAATCTAAGGACGATTTTCTTGAAACTTTACGCATTTTTAGAGGCAACTGTCTGCTAAATTTGCAGAAAATTCAAAATTGCTTTGTGCATTTGTTTGGAAGATGTGCATTTTTTTAAAAAGACACTGCATTTGAGGTAAAACATCAATTTTTCGATCAATTTTTACCAAGCTATCAAAAATTCAATCTAAGTACGATCTTTATGAAACTTTGCGCATGTTCAGAGTCAACTGTCTGCTAAATTTGCTGAAAATTTCAAATTGATTTTTGCATTGGTTTGGAAAATGTGAATTTTTAAAAAGATACTGCATTTGAGGTAAAACATCAATTTTTAGATCGATTTTTACCAAGCTATCAAAAATTCAAT